AGAGATATGGAGAGCTAGATAGATGATCTATAGATGGCAGATTGATAGATAGGTATATGATTGATGATAAATAGAGAGACCAGAGAGAGTATAGTGTATATGAGTATGACTATGTGTATACATGCTGGCCAAAGGAGTTGTTGGATGTCCTGTATCCTTCCCTACCCGATGTCTGTCTGAATCTTGAGCTTTTTTTTTTTGTCCCTATGCCAGTAGCCAACAGTCCCTGGCAATATCATGCAGGCTGTGTTATCTGGACTCAGATACTGACACTTGAAATAAACTCTTTTGTGCCATCTATCCCACCCCATGTCATCTATTTTGGAGGTTGAATTGTGCTCTTTTCCATATCTCCTGTTGGATAACAGCTATTAATCCTTATAAGATTTATTTTTATTATTTTAAAGTGTGTGTGTGTGTGTGTGTGTGTGTGTGTGTGTTTTCTTTGTGGGCTTGTGCACATGTGTATGTGGGAGCTGGCAGAGCCCAGAGGTATCACATTTTCAATGCTTCTGGAGTTCCTGGTAACTGTGAGCCATCCAATGTTGGTGCTACAAGAAGAATCCAGATCTTCTGTAAGACCCATATCTCCACTTCCCAATATTAATAATCCTAAAATCACAGGCATGTATGTATGTTAATAATGACTTATTAAAAGGCATATGTTTCTCATAAATAATGACATACTTTAAAAGCTTTCTTGTGATTGAATGGACAAAGGTGCATGTTGTGCAGCATGACTCACAAACAGTGTGATTGGCTGTTCCTTCTCTTTGCAGGTCAATTAGAATTCCAGTGTAAAATAACATAGCAACAGAGAACTCTTTCAGTTACTTTTGCAGAAGTTTGAAACAATCTGTCTAGTTTCTATATTTTCATTTTCTCTTTAAATGTTCCATTTCCCATTTTTGAATTAATTGCTTATTATTATAGACTGGTGAAATGCCTGAACCCAAAATGGTATTTCTCACAAAATCTGACTTATTGGAGCTGTTTTGTTTGAATACACTGTCTATTACTTTACCTGACAGTTTTTACCATGTGAACCAGTATATATTGTATTATTCCATTTTCCTAGTCTAATTTCATCCTGGTGTACTGTATTAAGTAACTCTAGTCCTACACAATGTATTTGACTGCACTCTTGCTACCTCATAACAGCTCTTTACCACAGAAGTTCTATTGAGCAAGTGTGTGACAATATAAACTTCTGTGAGGAGAAGAAAGATAGCATGAGAATGACCAGGAGTGTCTTCTTATACTGGGACCTTCAGGACCATCTTCCTGTACTGAAGTCTTCATGATAGGCGATGCTTTTGAGATATCCTGCCAAACCCTTGTACAACTTTGCTTGATCAACTTTGTGCTGACTCTGTTCCATTTCTCCCCTGAAATTAACATATAAGATGCTGAACTTTTTAATAAGCTTTCTTGGCATAAGACAGAGCTTGCACAAGACCTCCTAAGCCCACCTCTTCTATCTTCTATATCTCTGATCTGCTGGACTTTCCTCCTCAGGACCCAGTCAAGGAGCCGGCTCAGGTCAGAGATGTTCCTTAGTTGATTTGGGAGATGGTCTTGGATTGGCCTTTCAAAGATATTAACTTAACACAAACTGACTCTCATAGTGTTGATGTAGCCCTCTCCCTGCACCTCTTTATTCCCCTCTTTCTCTGCTGTATTTTTCAGATGGCCGCTGAAAGAGTTGTACAGGCATTGACACAGTTTCAAACCCTATTCTTTGTGGGACAGTTACTGACTTTGTCTCTTTAACTGACTGTTACCTCAGTCTTGCTAACCTTTCATGTTGTTTCTTCCAACATTATAATGTGTATCCGCAGGTCATTGTCATAAGTCTTCATGCTGGAGGCTCTGAATTCAGATGGACACTTGGTATCTGCTGACACTATCTGGAATATGATTAACGTTGTCAGGTTAGGTTACCCCAATTTCCTTTTAAACATCAAATTGTGGGTATGCTGCAAAGCATCAGAGATATGGGAAGCAAAATATTATTTAATATATATATTTTATTTAAATTTAAAACAAACTTGTTTTACATATCAATCCCAGTTCCCACACCCTTCTGTCCTCCTCTGTTCCCCCCACCAAATCCCATCCTATTCCCTTTCTGCTCCCCAGGGAGGTTGAAGCCTTCTATGGGGAGTCTTCAAAGTCTGTCATTCATTTGGAACAGGGCCCAGGCCCTCCCTCATATATCTAGGCTGAGGGTGTATCCCTCTATGTGAAATGGGCTCCCAAAGTACATTTGTATACTAGGGATAAATACTGATCCACTACCAGAGGCCCTATAGACTGCCCAGTCCTCCCATCTAACACCACATTCAGAGAATCTGGGTCAGTCCTATGTTGGTTTCCCAGCTATCAGATTGGAGTCCATGATCTCCTCCTTGTTCAGGTTGGCAGTTTCTATGGGTTTCTCCAGCGTGGTGTTGACCCCTTTGCTCATCACTTCTCCTTGTCTACAACTGGATTCTAAGAGTTTGGCTCAGTGTTTAGCTGTGGGTGTCTGGGGAAGCAAAATCTTTTGCACCATTATTATACTAGTGAAATATAAACATAAAGTACAATATCTTTTTTCTAAAAAGGCAACATAATTAAGCATTTTTAAGAGATTCAAATTTTTCTTCACTCACAGATGGGAAACCACAACATGTTGGGACATGGTACTGTATCTTGATGCATCAGGTAGCTTGCGATAAGACAGACATTTGGTCTTATTGATTTCTTTTTCTAGGAAATATTCCATCTAGGTTCATACAGATATATATGTTTGCTTGTCATGTGTGAGACACACCAATAGTCACTGTGGATGAATACTTTTGAGAAAGATACAGGAGTATGTTTGGAATTCTCCATCCATATTGTCATTGTCATAATATAGGTTTCAGCCACTCTCAAAGAAAGCTGATATTACTGTGATAGGTCCAGACTACACATATAACAACATACTAAGCTGTATCCTGATCTTTATGGTTTTACATCAAGAGGAAGAAAACTAGTTGATTGTTGGGATCTCTCTATCATTCACCACTAACTACCATAAGCCTGTATCATTTCCACATGGTCATCACCACTGTATCACTCCACTGATGCAGCAGAGAAAGCTTCCTTCAAGTACTAAATAGTGTGAACTTGCCATGTTTGAATGATTGTAGTTAGGTTTTCGTGGTTCACCTCTCCCTCTCTGTATGCCCCTCTCATAATGTTCTACCTCCAGCAACTTCTTTTCTCCTTAGACTGTGCATGTGTGTTCTATTGTCCCACCTACATGTCTGCAACATTCTTTTCCCTCTCCTGAGATTATCTTTCTGGTTTTAAACTTTATTTCTACACTCTCACAAATATAAACACTAATTATATAATATATTAAATATAAATATTTTATGTATTGTTATATTATGTTTTACCATTATATAATTACATACATTATGAATAATATTAATGTAATATATAATATATAACATTAATATAGTATATTGTATAATTATATGTAATATACAATCATAATTAAATATATACCATGTACTTTAGCATATTATATATTTATGTATATTATAAACATACATTATATATTATATCTATATGATATATAGATATATCACATGACATGTAATTAATATATATGTATGTAATAAATTATTAGTTAAGGCTTGTAAATGAGAGAAATCATGTAGTATTTGATTTCCTGAATCTGGCTCACATTGTAGAACAAATTCAAGCTCCAGTAATGTCTTACTAATTTTATATCATTTCTATTTATAGGTGATCAACTTCTATTCTATGCATGTACTACATTTTGATATATATGCATATATATCCTTTTCCTCCTGTGTTCTAACATTTTGCCCAAATGTGTGTCTATATGCCACCTGCATGTCTTAAAGTAGCTGGGCTTCTGGCACTCAATTATTTTTCTTAATCATTAACCTAAGCCAGAGTCTATATGGCTTCTCAATAGAAACCAATGTGGTGTAGCTTTGTGACACTTCTTTATTTTTTTTACCCTTTGTAGCCTCTGCTTTATCAGAGGCAGGAACATCATTTTATCCTACCCTTACTTATGTTAAATTTTCCACTTAACTAACCTCTATCATATTTATTACTATGTTTAATAAAAACCCTCAATTGTCAAAATGATATTTAACCTAACACTATTATTTCATAAAATCATTTAAACAGTATTGTTTAGCAGGAGAGCATCTTCATAATAGACTACTGGTAAAAATGCCCAATAAAATGGAATATTACTAAGAGATAATCATATTGTATTAAGGGCAATGGGGATCTCCCCAAGCTCATTCACACCAGGCAAGATACAAGAGAAAAAATGGCAGTGGCAAACTTGCAAAGACACAGAAGTAGCAAGAAACATTCTGGGGCCAAGGCTCTTGAGACCCTGCCTATCCAAGATTCACCTATTAGGGTTCTGTTGCTGGTGACTAATACCCTGAAGTCAATTGCCATATGCTGCTTATTTGTCATGGCCACTGGCAAGGAGCAAATGCTCTTAACTGATAAACCACCACTCCAGCACTGATGTACCATATTTTCAATATTCATTGATCTATTGAGTATTATCTAGGATAGTACACTCTCACTGATATTGTGATTAGATGCACAGGAATCTCTTCAGAGAATAATTTTCAAGAGACATGCAAAGACAATATATATATATATATATATATATATATATATATATATATGTGTGTGTGTGTGTGTGTGTGTGTATGTATGTATGTGTATCCATATATGAGACACATTGTTTATTTATGTTAAGAAGTTTGAAAACCTGAGGCTACTAAAGGGTCTTTTATCATTAAATTTTGTTATTTATTCATCAACAGTGTGAGTAATCTCAAGATAAATGTGTATCAATGTATAAAGGACCCTTCTAGAGATTTGTCAGTGGGGAAAACTTATTAAGAAATAATGGTGAGATAGTGATACAGTTTGGACTACTAAAAGTAATACATATTTAAAGTTTTTCTTCCTGAGTGTATTGATGAGGTTAAATTGGTCTGTTTCAGGTGAAAAGATCATGGTTATTGAGAACTTGCCAATGGGGATTTTGTTCTTCTCTCAAACAGCTGTTGGGATTCTTGGCAATTGGTCAATTTTTCTCCCTTATGTTATGTCTACATTCACTGGGAAAAGTCTGATGGCCAAAGACCATATTATAAGGCATCTGACTTTAGCCAATTCTTTGGTTATTATCTCAAGAGTAATCCCTCACATACTGGCACAGCTGGGCTTGCAAAATCTCCTGGATGATCTTTTGTGTAAACTTACTCTCTACAGTAATCGAGTGTCCCGGGCCATTTCCCTGCACTGCACCTGCCTCTTGGGTTGCTTCCAAGCAATCACAATCAGCCCCAGCAACACAAGATTCACGAAGTGTAAACACTCAGTCTGCAAGTACATGGTTCAGTCCTGCTCACTCAGCTGGCTTGTGTATCTGCTTCTAAACAGCAAAACAGCTATAGATGTGATTGGATCTGGTACTAAGAAAAACTTCACCAAGAAAATCAAGTTGGGGTATTGCTCAGCATTTGTTTTGAGTAACACTGTACCTCGACTACATCTGTTATTGCTTTGTTTCACTGATGGTGTGTCTTTGAGTCTCATGATCTGGACCAGTGTGTTCATGGTGAACATCCTCTACAGGCACAAGAGTCAGTTACAGTACATCCACAGTGCCCAGCATTCCCTCCACATCTCCCCTGAAGATAGAGCCACAAAATACATCTTGATCCTTGTGTGTACCTTTGTCCTCTCCTATGCAATGTCATTTATATTAGTTATTTATACCACATTATTTAACAATCCAAAGCTGTGGATAATCAATATATTTACATTCCTAGACACGTGTTTCCCCACATTTTGCCCATTCATTCTCATCAGTAGTAACAAATCTGCTCCAAAGAGTCCTTTTCCCTGCTGTAGGTGAAGGCAATTTAACATGGCGACTTACATTCAAATATTCTTTTGTCCATTATTGATTTTATACTCAGCCATTGCAACAAGCCACAATATCACACAGCAATTGTACAGCCCCCTATCCTGAGATAACTCAGGAGAAGTAAGGATTCTCCTGAAGGATGAAACCAGTAAAAAGTTGTACTTGGCTTTGTAATCTTGTGGATGAATTGGGTGTTTCTTCCTGTAGCTTATTCCTTCCCACAGTTTAGCACTATCTGCTCTTTACTGGGCACAAATTCCTCCCATGAATTTGAAGTATTACCGATTTCACTCCCTAGTGATGTGTAAATACCCATTCTCCATTAAAAGGTCCTAGTTTACTGATTACATTCCTTAGATATGTGTGAGACATTTTTTTCCACTATCAGGTTCTTGTTCCCCTTTCCATTGCAATTTCAAATATCTGCCTTCCTGTAACTATCCTATTGACATGCATTTGGTCAATGTTTAGGGCCCAGGCAAAAGCATTCCATCTAAGACATTCTCAGATATCCAAGGACATAGAATGATGATGCATCTAAATTTGTTATTTCATAGCCATCTAGATGGGTAGAAAAAAATATGCATGCCCTGTTTTTACCTCACTGGCAGATAGAGGTGATAACGTAAACTAACACTGTACTAAAAGATTCTCAAATTTCTTGTTATATTGACTCAAGATTTTGGCTTAGAGAATTACTGCTCCCTCCTTTCCCATGAGAAGATAAAGGCAAAGATAATCTGCACATTTGCTCGTGCTCATGGAAAAGTAAACTTCCTTGAAGTTCTGTGCTACTACTGAGGCTAGAGCACTGGAAGGATCCAAGTTTTTTTTTTTTCTTGTGCAAATTAAACTTAGAACTTTTCTTTGACCTACAGCCCTAAGTAGTTGATGCTAAAAGTTTCTCCTAATACTTTTAGTTTATTGCTCTCTGTGTAAATCTTATCTGCCTTGCCAAACCTGAGAAACTCAGCCTCATATTGTATTGTTAAAAATTACTGTTACATAATTTATATCCAATAAGACAATCTTAAGGCATAACCACATTCAGTGTGCCCATGAGACATCTTAGAAGTAGAAAAATACATTATTTATGAACTACACTTGCCATTGATGGCAAGTTGTGAATTTGGATGAGAGTTGGCAAGTTTAAGAATCTTGAGAGACATTATTCTAGAAACAAAGTCTGACGTGGCCAATGTGAAGGGTAATGCTTCCCTTACGGTCTAAACACAGAGTATTGACCTCATGGAAAATTGACCATTAGAGCAGAAAATCCAGGTCAATACCTCAAAGAATGTTGTCATTGGCTCTATCAAGTTACTTGATTTTTGTCATTATTCTTTAAATTTCATTTTATCTGAAGATCACATTTCTGTAGTGTCATATTTTTTAGAACTCAAATAAAGCTACTCTAACTAATTCAGTGTCACACATATCAAGAGGTTATGATCTCTCTTTAGTTCATTGGGAAACTAAAGACTAAAAGATTTAGCTGCTGTCATTTTTTGGAATGAACTTAGACTCTTACAGCTTTGCTCCTTATTAAATCTGGAAACATTTGTTCTGTTGTTTGGGTTTAGAAAAATATATTGGGAAATACAATGATAAGGACATGCTTCTTGTGATGCTTACAGCATAATACAAATGATGATGAAAGAGCCTTGTTAGATGCATAGCAATATGATGATAATAGACATTTGTCAATAAAATGAAAGTATTTATGAAAAAGAATTACTGTTGTAAACATATATATCTGGATCCCCAAGAACTGGAGAGAGACAAAGAAGCAGAGAGATAGACATGAAAAAGAGAAATAAACAGAGACAGGAAATGAACAGAGAAACAACAGCAAGAGAAGAAGGAAGAAGAAGAAGAAAAGAAGAAGAAGGAAGAAGGAAGAAGGAGGAAGAAGAAGAAGAAAGAAGAAGAAAGAAGAGAAGGAGGAGGAGGAGGAGGAGGAGGGAACATGCAGAGGAACAATGCTGTGTGAGTCACTTCCCTTTTCCCTCAGATTTTAGTTCCTTTTTTGATCTCTGGGTGGAATTTTATAAGCTGGACTTTTATTAAAATTTACAATTACCAGGTGTTATTAAGCAAGTCAGTGACTGGGAGTTAAGCATCAAGAGTTGTTACAACTATTGTAATCCTGGATAAATCCTGGATAAATTCATTTCAAAAGCTGTGAAATTAGGGATCACCATGTACTGAAAACTATCTTGTGCTTTCAGATATTCAATCAGCTGTTGAGGTGTGAATTTCTTTGCAGGCACAGCCTGGACTCTGAGAAAACAGAACAGAAAAAAAAAAATCCAAGCACTTTGGCATATTGAGAGTAACATGTTTGTGTGACCAACAACATGGTATTTAGTCATGTTTTAGCTTCACTAATGTTCTGCTCTGATCTCATGGTCTGGGCTTGTGGCTCCACTTCCATGTTCCTCTATGGCAAGAAGAGCCGATGATGCATTATGTATTGCTGGTGGCCATGACAGAGAAGCAGCATGTGACAAACGAGCTTCTGGAGTTCAGCCCACTAAGAAGTGAGAAACCAAAAATGACAACTAATAAAAGTTGAAAGACCTGGGCTATTGAACCTACACAGAGAAAAAGGGGACTTTTGATGGTGGAAAGAATTTTACTCCCTAACTGAGTATACATGTCCTTTGTCCTAGAGAAAATCAGTTAACCACTAATTGCTGGTTGTAAAAATCCTTTGGCCCAGGGGAAAGTTGGAAAACTTGTGACCCTATGCCTCCCCCACACCTCAAATGTATCTTGCTAAAATGGATAGTCTTTGCTTTACTTTGTAATGATCTTGAGTAACCAGGGAAACATCGTAATCTTGTGGCTCTTAGCCTTATAGTCTTGGCCTAACTCCCCCCTCCAGCTATTGTTAGGGACCCTTGCCTCTTCCAAGCATAAAGGTTCCTGCCAGCTTGAACAATAAAGAAAATTTTGCTTTTGCATCAGAGTTGGATCCTTGTGGATATCTGTTTGGGATTTCATGAACCTGGCATAACAGGAAGCAAAGACTGATGGGTAAATCTCAGAAAGACAAGGCTCCAAAGGCTACAGCACCAGAATATCTCTTAGTACTGCTATGCATTTACATGTTTGCCACAATTTTTCTCTGGTAACTGGCAAAGTGCTAATGGGTGTGTGGAGATCCCTACCTGCTTGAATGTACTATGATAATCTCATGGAAGTGTCCCATTCTACTGAACATTTTCACCTGTGGATTATTAAGAAAATGACTCCCTCTTAAGATGTACTGTTTAATTGAAGTAATTGTTTTATACAGTAATAGTTTAAATACAATTTTGATAATTAAGGGTTTTAAACAAATGTAGTAGGGGATTATAATAGAGGTCAATTTAGTGGAAAAATTAATACAAGTAAGGGCAAGACAAAAAATACCTTGGTACCTAAACTACACAAAGACAACTAAGAAAGAGAACTACAGACCAATATCCCTCATGAACATTGATGCAAAAATACTCAATAAAATACTTGCAAATCAAATCCAAGAAAACATCAAAGAAATCCACCATGATCAAGTAGGCTTCATCCCAGGGATGCATAGGAAAATCTATCAATGTGATCCACCATATAAACAAACTGAAAAAGAAAAACCACATGATCATCTATCTCACTAGATGCTGAAAAAACATTTGACAAAGTTCAACACCCTTTCATGATAAAGGTCTTGGAGAGATCAGGGATAACAGGAACATACCTAAACATAATAAAAGCAATATACAGTAAACCAACAGCCAACATCAAACTGAATGGAGAGAAGCTTAAGGCTATTCCTCTAAAACAGGAACAAGACAAGGCTGCTCACTCTATATCTCCTCAATCGTACTTGAAGTTGTAGCTAAAGCAATAAGACAACAAAAAGAGATTAGGGGATAAAAATTGGAAAGGAAGAAGTCAAAATGTCACTATTTGCATACATAAACCTTTATCAAAACTAACCAAAAGGAAGAAAGAGAAAATACACGTTAACATAATCAGAGATGAAAAACAGACATAACAGTGGTCACTGAGGAAATCCAGAGAATCATGCCACACTTTGAGAATCTGTACTTCACAAAATTGGAAAATTTAAAGGAAATGGTCAGTTTTTTTTTCCTGGAGAAATATCACATAACAAACTTAAATCAACAACAGATAAGAAATTTAAGTAAATGTATAACCCCCAATGAAATAGAAGCAGTCATCAAAAGTCTTGCAACAACAAAAAAAAAACAACAACAAAAACAAAACAAACAAACAAAAAAACCACTCAGGGCCACATGTGCAGGATTCCACCAGAAATTCAAAGAAGAGCTAATACCAATACTCCTCAAATTGTTCCACACACTAGAAACAAGGTCATTGTCAAAATCTTTTTACTAGGCTACGATTAACTTGGTACACAGCCACACAAAGACACAACTAAGAGAACTATGGACGAATCTCCCTTGTGAACATTGGTGCAAAAATACTCAATAAAATTCTGGCAAACAGAAACCAAGAACACACCAGAAAAATCATCCAACATGATCAAGTAGGCTTCATCCTGGAAATGCATGGATGGGTTAATATACAAAAAATTGTCAAGGTAATCCAGCATATAAACAAACTGAAAAAGAAAAACCACAGGATCATCTTGCTAGATGCTTAAAAATCCTTTGGCAAAATCCAAACCTCCTTCATGATAAAGGCCTTGGAAGATCCCAGGGATAAAAGGACATATCTAAACATAATAAAGGCATATATAGTAAGCTAAGAGCCAACATAAAACTAAATGGAGAGAGACTCATTGTGATTTTTCTAAAATCAGGAACAAGACAAAGCTGTCCACTCCATATCTCTTCCATGTTGTTTTATCTCTAGCAATAAGAAAACAAAAGAGAGATCAAGGGGATACAAATTGGAAAGGAAGAAGTCAAACTTTAAGTATTTGCCGATGTTTATATAAGTGATGTGAAAAATTCTAC